GGCTTCGTGCTACGGTGGCGGCCGGGAGCAAGTCTGCTCCTGCCTGAGTCCAGTCTCTGACCCCCGAGTGACCTCCCACCTCCCTGACCTGGGCCTGACTCATGCTTCCAGAATGGGAGCCGGAGGATTCCTGTTGCCAGGCGAAGCTGACTCAGGGCTGGTCCAGGGGCGGCTGTGGAAGGGGCTCAGGGCAGGGCAGCTCTCAGGGAGGTAACACCTGTCACTTCCTGAGCACCTACTATGCTCCAGGACCCAGGGCGGGCACCTGCTACCCTTTCTCAGCCAGGGGGGTAGGGCAGCCTGCCTCGCTGGCCGGGCAGGGGGTAGGGAGGCCTCTGGCCTGGCAGGGGGCATCAGCTTGGCTGCACGTTCTGAGAAAGGGAGAAGGGCGCCCCTGCTGTGCCCTGGACTCAGCCCTGCAGTGGGTGGGCAGGGGGAGGTGGCCTGGGCCACACGACCTCCTCCCTACATTCCTGTGGTTTCAAGTGCCTGGCTGACGTCAGGCCTGAGCGACGCGGGAGACTCGCTGTGTCTGGGGCCCGGCCAGGGGCTGAGACATTTCTTTAAAAGCTCATAAATCACTAAGTACTTCCTCTTCCAAGCCAGCTCTACCTGGGGCCTCAGAGGACACGTCTCTACAGGCCCACACAGCAACTCCCTTTGGCCTCCTTGCTTTTGGGTTAGCCCAGACCCTCGGCAGCAGAGGGGGAGGTGGGTGTGTGTGTGGGGGTGTCACATCACATGCATATGCAATGAAAACACGTGTGTCCTCAGCAGCCGAGCCCAGGCAGGCAGCCAGGCCCCCTGGGGCTCCCAGCGTGCACTGTGAGAACACGCCTGCCAACACCCAGCCCCTCACACACGAACCATCACACCACTCCACAGCTCCCGGCTGTCCCCAGGCACAGATGAGCTCACCCTTGGCGGGGCACCATGTTCCTCCACGCACCCACAACGGCATATGCCCGTGTCCCACTGCATGCACACACTTGCAGGTGTGCAAGGGCTGCACATCCACACACGTGCACACCTGTGTGCATGCACTGGACACTCACAAGGACCCAGGCAAGGACACCCAGCTAGCTGGCCACGCTCAAATCTCACACCCACCCTAGACTCACACATGCATGCAGGAACCACTTCCTACATGCGAGTGTCCACACAGCATGCACACCCTCGCACACACCCCTGGATGCATAGGTGGGAGCCTCCGGAAGCCAAGGGAAAGAACAGGAGCCCTGTGAGGGGACGGCAGGAAGCTGCTATCCCCAGCCTCACCTCTGGGGGCCGCTGTCAGGACCGTGGCCTAGCACTGTGCTCTGAAGTTGGCCTGGGGAGGCAGGCAGCACTGTGGGGCTGGCTGCCTGGAGGAAGAATGAGAGGGACCCGCCACTGGCCCTGGACTCCCGAAAGCTGTGGAGTGACTGCCCACCCAGGGCCTTGGAGCGGGGAGAATGGACAGCTGGAACTGAAAGACAGGGGACGGGGCGGGGGGAGATGGAAAGGGATGGAGGGAATGGGGCCCCTCAAGGATCAAGCCAGGAGGGTGAGGGGTGATGGGCAGAGCCTCTGGGCGTGGGGAGGCACCACTGCACCCCCTATCCTCCAACCCCTGCGCAGGCACAGACAAGCCCAGGGCTCCCTTCCTGGGGGCCCAACAGGCTGGGTTCCCCCAGTCTGCATGCTCAGAAGGCAGCACCTTTGCCAGAGCGGGGACCCCCTCTGGTGGGTGGGGTCTTGCTTTGTCCTCTCCTGGGCCTGCAGGACCTGACCCCTACCTCGCCCCCAACTTGCAGTGAGCCCCGCCTGGTTGGCGACAGAGCACCGACAAAAAGCCTTGGGTCCTATGACCTCACCTACATAACAGTAAACAGGTCCCCCTTTCTCTGCCCTGCTGACACAGCCCCGCCCCGCCTTGGCCACCCCTCGCTAGCTGGAGTCCACCATCAGCCTGAGCTCTCCCCCACTCCTCCCAAGCTCTCCCCCAACTCAGCGGCTCAGGCTCAGGGTCCAGCCTCAGCCTCAGCCCCAGCCCCAGCCCCAGCCCAAACCCCTCCCAGCTAATGCTGTGATCTCGCGAGAACTTCAGAACTAGCCCCAAGCTCTCTCTCTATCCCAACAGCCCTGCTTTAGCTCAGACCCCCAAGCCCCTTCCCACCACTTTGTACTATATAAACCACTGGTGTGCAAGGGAAGGTTCTCTCTCTCTCTCTCTCTCTCTCTCTCTCTCTCTCCCTCCCCCCCCCTCCCTCCCTCCCTCCCTCCCTCCCTCTCCCATGCGTTCACCTGGGAATAAATAAGTAAACCTGGTCTGGCTGTGGCTTCCTGCTTCGTCTCTTCTTTCCTGACCTGAGCCACGCTCTGTCTCAGCACCCTGGCCAGCCAGCCTCCTGCCTGCCACCCACAAGGGGACAGTGTCCAGCGAGACCCAGGCGGCCCATCCAGGAGCCCTGGCAGGGCAGGTCCCAGGGAGGGGTGGGGAGTGGGCCCTCCTGCCCCCACTGGCCCAGCAGGTCCCCCGGGGTGCAGAGGAAGCTGGGAAGCCAAGGCTGGGCCTCAGACTCCCCTTGTTGCCTGAGTCCCTTCTGGTTCACTCCAAATAAATGCAAAAACTCGGAGATGTTTGCAGGTCACAAAGTCCCAGAGAAAGGAAGCCTTGAACCCCAAATCCTGGGCTTGGGCTCTTTGCCACGGGCACCCTGTCAGGCCTCCCCTGTCCCCTCCTGCCCCTCTGAGGCACACCCAAAGCCCACTTAGGCCACACTGGGCAGGGTGGGTGCTGCTGGGCAGTGGCTCCACCTCTCCCAGGTCTCAGAGCCCAGTCAGCAGTGCAGAGACTGTTCCCTGACCAATGCTGAGGGGCAGGGTGAAAGGGACCACCCTCTCCCTTTTTCAAACGGGAACACGGGCTTGAAGAGGCGGCCTCTTGTCCGAGCACCTGTGGACCAGCCTTTGGGGCCAAAAGGTAGGAGCCGGATGAGCCACAACCGCGGCTCCAGCCCTCTGCCTCCACCTCCCCCCACCCCATCAGAACCCAGCTCAGCCACTGCCCGGGTCCCACACCTCCCTGGGCCCCCCATCTCCCACCCAGTGGGGGTGTCCCATGTTCAACCCTGCACCCCCACCCCACAGGCGCAGCTCAGCCTGTCTGCCTCAGACCCGATGCCCACTCCGGGGGCATCCATACCCTGGTCTCCCCAGGAGCATGCCACGTCCCTCCTCCCAAACCCTAAAGCAGGCTGCCCCACCCTTCCTCGGCATTCAGTACTCCTGTGTACCTCCCTGGCTTCACCTCCAGCCGCCGCCCCCTCCCCCAATACCCCCCAAGGACCCTCCAAACCATAGCTGCTTCCTGGTGCCTGGCTCAGCCTGCAGGGCTCAGCCCACATTCTGGAGGACCCAGCACACCCCTTGGAATCCCATAGCCCCCTGGAATGCCCCCCTCCCCCAAGACTGCTGCAAAGCATAACCCTTCTGCAGGCAGGGACCCAGCTGCACACCTGCAGTACCTCGTAGGTGTTTTCCGAAGGGTGTCTAATAATTATTAGACTCTACTTATTTCCTGTTGGTGTGTGCCTTGCTCTGCTCCCTCCCCCCAGGAGGTTCACGGGCAGTGGTGAGCCCACTGCAGGCTGCGGGCCCCAAGGACCACGCCCTGGGAGGTTGGTTGTGCAGCCCCGCAGGAGACTTGGGGGCACACCCTGTGAACCCCGAGCTCCTTAAGCCCCTGGAATTTTTGCAAGGCCAATGGGTGGCCTGGGTGGCCCGAGGCACCCCACCCCTGCCTGCCTGCAGATCCCAGGGCCTCTGCAGAGCCGCCCAGGGCCCCCCCTCCAAGGATGATGTCATCCTGTCTCGGCAGCTGCCAGCGGGTGTATGTGATACCTGCCCTGGGGAAGCTTCAAGGCTGGGACGTGAGGAATGAGCATGACTCCCAGGGCCCCGAGAGTCCCAGACAGGAAGCCAGGCCGGGATGCAGGCGGACCGCATGGTGCGGTGACACTGGCATGGGGAATGGCCACTCCTCCTTAAACACTTATTAAGCATGAGACTCCAAGCCAAGCCGTTTGTCTCTGCCGTAACTCTGCAGGGCAGATTAGAGAAGGGGTTCCGGGCCACAGCTGGGGTTCAACCCCAGACCCACGCCCCTTTCCACCCCGTTCCACAGCCCCCCAAACTCTCCAAATGGGCCCCCCTTGCACTCAGCATGACCCCTCCTCTCTTAGGCTCCCCCCTTGCCCTCCCATTCCCCGTCAGCCCCACCCACCTCTGCCACACCCCCATGTTAGCCTGGCCGCCTGTGAGCAGATGCCTGCCCCATTGTACAGATGTGAAGACTGAGGATTAAGGACGGAAAGAAGCTAGCCCAAGGTCATGCAGCTGGGAAGCAACCGAGCCTGGTTAGAACCCAGGTTATTAGAGCATCAAGCAATAAAGCAATAAAGCTACAGACAATTAGGGAATGGTATTAGCAGGACAGGCTGCTGAGGGTGCCCAAAAGTTCCATGGCCAGGGAGGCGGGGCCTTGAGAAATGGGCGGGGCCTGGATGGGGGGGCTGGCCAAAACCAGGGGGGTGGTATAAATTGGCGAAAATTGCTTGGGGGGAGTGGGCAGGACGCAAAGGACCCAGCTGTGCCCCCCTAAACTTGCTGTGTGACCCTGGAGAAGTCTCTTCCCTCTCTCAGGGACACCTGTATATAAATGAAGATTAGGTGAGGCTGGATGGTTTTGGGGTCCCACATCTCCTCAGGGATCTGTGTGTGTTGCCGTAGGACCTTGAATCCCAAACACACACCCGAGCCTGCACAAAGACCCCCCACCTTGGGCCAACTCCCCTCCCCCACCCATCTCCTACCCACCACCAAGGTCCCGGCCCTTGGAGCTGCTTTCCCTGGCCAGGTAACAGGCACTGCCCTGCTGATGGTGGGCACCCAGGAAGGGGGGACACCTTGCTGCCGTTCTGACTCAAGAGATGCCCGACAGAAACTAGCCCGCCCACCTGTGCGGGGCTGACTCCCCCGCTCCGGAGCCACTGGTCCACCTTTCCTGCAGGCTGGAGTCTGAGGCGGAGGAGGCTGAACTGGCTGGTTGGAGGAGCCACCTCCCTGGGACCGGGAGGGAGATTACAGAGGCGCCGGGCCCAAGGCTGCGCCATGCACCTGCCACAGCTGCAGGGAGATGGGCGGGTCCGCCAGCTCACCCCGCCCCATGACCTCATGGCTGCCTTTGCCAGATCTGGCTTGGGGAGCAGGTGCTGACAGCAAGGCTTGGGCACGAAGCCCGAGGAGCAAAAGGCGGGAAGGCTTCTGGGAGCTGACGACAGAGCCGTCCCCGTGGGATGTGACGTCCGTCTGGCCAGTGACCCACCAGCTCTGCTCCTCTCCTCAGGCCTCTAAGAGCTCCGCTCGCACCCCTGCCGACCACCGGTGAGGGTAGTGGAGGCTCCTCTCCTCTCCTGGGACCAGCCACTCCTTGGCTTCTCTCTCTCTGCTGCCCCTGTTAAAGCACAGATGGTTTCTGGGTGGGGACCGGGGGGCTGCTGCAGGTTCGCATCTAAGTGGCAGTCATCAGAGATGATGAGCCCCCCACACACACACGCCTCTGTCCCAGTGTCAGGACAACCCCAGCCCCATGGGTCTCTCATGCCTAGACACCCGACTTCTTCCCCAGCCAACCCCTGCAGACCCCACCCCAAACAGTCCCCTCCATCCATCCCCAAATCCACCCCTGAGATGGAGACTCCTCCATCAAGCCTGGCTGGGCAGGCTGCAGCTCCCCACCCGACACGGGGACACCTGGTTGGCAACCCAGAGGCCAGGAGTCACCTCCATCCTCCTGGTCCATCAGGGCCTCCCCCTGCCCTGACAGACAAAGGCCTCAGCATGGCTGCCCCCAGAGGATGCCCCGGGCTCGCAGCACAGCTTCCTGCCTGCGTCTCCCTCTCCCCACCTGGGAGCTGGGCCTGGGCCCTCACCCTTCCAGCTTCCCGGTCCTGCCCATTGCTCCTGCAGGGGACCCAGGGCTCTGCTTGTCTCTTCCTCCCCAGTCACCATCCAGTGCCTGTGTCCGAGGTGCACCTGCTGCTTCCTCCAGGGACCACAGCCTAGGATGTGCCCCTCTCCCCCGCCCTCCAGGGAACTCCCAGAAATCTAGACAGTGCCTCTGCCTTGTACCCTAGACCCCCCCACACACGCATGCACACACTTGCACACTACCCTCCCAACTCCACACCAAACCTCCATGGTGCGCTCTGCATAGAAAGGGAGTAAGCAAAGTTCCCCTCCAACTGAGGACACTGTCCCCAGCCCAGCCCCCTGCTCCCCCCCACCAACAGCAGAGCGCACAGACTAACAGGGGGCATCCTGGCCCTCTGGGGAGGGGTCAGCTGGCCTCATTAACATTCCCACTCCGCCTTGCACAACCCCTCTCAGCCCTACCTCGGGAGAGCCACACCCACCCGGCATCCCCCAGAGAAGACACTGTAATGGACCACAGGCCAGCACTGGACCAGAATTCTTGGACAGGAGGGCCACACCACACGTCCATGTCAGTTTCCAAGGGCGCCAAGTGGGCTGGGCAGGCGTGTGGCTGGTCAGTCCCCACCCAAGGGTGCAGGTTGCTGAGCTGGGTAGCTGGGGTGGGGCCACCGGGGCCTGGCTGCTTCTAGAACAGTGGTGCCAGGATGCCAGCCCCCACCCCAAGGACAGCCTTGTCCCTCCCCCACCCGCATCACACTTCCCTGCTCTCAGAAGCTGACTCCGCGGCCCCTCGGCACACGGACCCAGGGTTGTCGGCGGCTTTGCCTTTGGCCTTGTCTATGTGCTGCTCTGCACACGCTCTCCCAGGGCTACACCTTCCCCCAGCGTGGCTCCTGTGAGAGGCCCCAGCGTTAATTAGGCCCACGTTGTCAGAGGATTAGTCCCTGCCTTGGGGAGTGCCCAGAGAGACTCTGGAATCTGAGGGCGCTCCCCTCTCGATGCGATTTTTTCCTCTTGATAACCAAGCGATCCCGCTGATGAAATTGCCCACAATAAGCAGTTTCTGTTAGTGTCTGGGTTCCTGCTTTGGTTGCCGGGAGGCCCCAGTTCAGGTCACACTGGGGCAAGGCATCTCTGGGGAATCCCTGGACGAGGCCAGCTACTCCTCCCAGGGAAGTTACTCCCGCCGGTCCATTGCAGACCCGTCCGGCACCAGCAGGCGGGTGCTGTTGCTGCATCTCCCAGCAGCACACGCAGAGGCTGCAGCAGGCTGTGGGGTTAGAGTGACCTGGGAGTGAATTCCCCGTTCTAGCACTGTCTGTCCCGGCTCCCTGAGTTGAAGCGCTCTGTGCCCCAAGCTCACTGCCTGGAAAATGAGCGCAAGAGCAGGAAGCTTTGAAGAGGGGAACAGAGACTGGGGTGGGCACCAGTCAGCTTGTGCTGTGCCTGGCAAAGTGCAGACTTCGCTGCCAGGGACCACCGCAGGCTCTGGGGGAGGGAAGGGGCAAAGAGCCTGTCCCTGGGCAGCCGGGCTGGGATTTCCTCAGAGCTCCCCCTACTGGTCAGCTTTTATGGAAAACTTTTTTTTTTTTTTTAAGATTTATTTATTGGAAAGACAGAGTGACAGAGACAGAGATAGAAAGAGGTCTTCCATCTGCTGGTTCACTCCCCAAATAGCTTCAACAGCCAGGACCTAAGTACTTGGGCCATCCTCCTCTGGGGTGAATTAGCAGGAAGCTGGATCAGAGCAGTGTAGCTGGGACTCGAACCAGCACTCCAGTAGGAGACGCAGGTGGCCCAAGAGAGAGATAAACCCTGAGCACTACATCCAGGATCATGGGCCAGCTTGCCTTAGCCCTGAAGCTAGCCCAGGGCCACAAGCTGGAGGGGCAGTGTGCCTGCACACCTGCCCACAAGCCACTCCTGGGGGTCAAGCTTGAACCTGAACAAGGCCAAGGGCGAGAGGAGGCTTCCCGAGGACTCCTGGAGAAGACAGGGCTGTGCCTCCAGCTGCATCAACTACTCCCAGCATAGCACATGGGGGTTCTCAGGGCAGGTTCTCAGTGGAGCAGAGGAGGCAAGACCGGGGAGTCCCCACAGCCCCGCCTCTGCAGAGACTGTGGTGGGTGGGAGGGGGGTGGTCTCTGGCTTTTAGGAAGAAACCCACTGCACAGAGCCCACAGATGCAGCCTTCATCGCACAGCACAAAGAAATGCACTCATGTGGCTTTCTGCAGTGTGTGATGGGGGCAGCCACAGCCACCAATCAACAAGTAGGAGGGCGCTCCCACCAGGGCGGGGACACAAGGCAGCAGGCAGGACAGCTGGTGCATTCTCCCCCCCCCCCCTTACTGAGATGCTCAAGGAGGACTTGGTGGGGAACGTGCCGCGGGCTGCCCGCGCGCCCACCTGCCTGCATCGGGCCCTTTGCATGCCTTCCCGCCGGTCCTCGCTCCAGCACGCAGGCTCTTAGGAGATGTGCGGGGGCCGGTGCTGCGGCGTAGCAGGTAAAGCCACCACCTGCAGTGCCAGCATCCCTTATGGGCACCAGTTTGAGTCCCGTCCGCTCCTCTTCTGATCCAGCTCTCTGCTGTGGCCTGGGATAGCAGTGGAAGATGGTTCAAGTCCTTGGGCCCCTGCACCTGTGTGGGAGACCCTGAGGAAAATCCTGGCTCCTGGCTTCAAATCGGCAGAGCTCCAGCCATTGCAGCCAATTGGGGAGTGAACCAGCAGAAGGAAGACCTCTCTCCCTCTCTGCCTCTCCTTTTCTCTCTGTGCAACTCTGACTTTCAAATAAATAGATCTTTTAAGAGAGAGAGAGCGCACGTGAGAGAGAGCCACGTGGTGTGCTTGTTGCGTGTGTGGCTCCACTCTGAGTGTCCTCTACACGTCGCTCATGGAGTAGCCAGAGCCTGAGGAAGGCTCAGGGGTGGCTTGCTCAGGCTCCCCCAGCTGCAAGCAGGTGCAGGCGGAGTCCTTGGCTTCTCTGCCCATCTCGCAACACTCACACATCCACAGGGCTGAAGCGGGTCCAAGCCATGGTGGGGTCACAGAAGGGAGGCAGCACCCCCTCCTCGGCTCCTTCAAAATCCAGACGGCTGTTTAATCAAACCAAATGTGGATGGATGGACAAATGAGATGTCTAGTAGTAGGGGGCTTACCCTGGACCCTGTGTCCTTGGAGCTTGAGATCCCCTTGCTCCAGAGAGTGACCCCAGACCAGAGCCCCAGGAGCCTGATCAGAGAGGCCTGGGTCTCCATTCAGAGCAAGAGGGGTCTGCATGGGACAAGGCAGACCCCTGCCCATGGGGCTGATGCAGGCCTGTCTGCCAGGGTCCCCGGGCCGCTGGAGGGGAGAGGAAGCAGAGAGCATCCTCAGTCACCCAGCCCCACCACAGAGCGGGGGGCGGGGCCAGACCCAGCAATGCCGTCAGCAGCTGAAATTCCCAGCCCACGCGGCACCCCAGGCTTGTGCCCCGCCCCCACTAACACCCCAGCAGGAAATGTGTTGAGCTCGTCAACATCTCTCTGGCCACAGGGTCGGGGCTCCCGTGGCTCTGAAATGATGGGGCCGGGGCCGGGTCATTAGGCAGGGACACTGTCATTACCACAGGTGATGCCACCACATGCAGACAATGGCAAACAGTCATTAGTGGCTGTGTCACAGGGTGAGGCGTTGCCGGCCGGCAGCCCGGGGGAGGACAGATACGCACCGGCACACTCACACTGGCACAGGGGCCCTGGCACACGTCTACACACAGGGGACAGGGAAACTCACCTGTGTGCACGGAGGTGTGAGTGGGAGACCCACACATGGCCACACCCTGGCTCACAGACTTACAAATGCACATGTCCACACAGCACACACACACACATGCTCACACACAGTAACACGGCACACATGCATGGTCACATACACAGTAACTCAGCAACATACACATGCAGATACAGTAACATGGTACACGTGTGCATGTTCACACACAGTAACATAGCACACAGATGCATGTTCATATATACAGTAGCATAACACGTGTGTGCTTGTCCACACACAGTAACACACACACATGTTCACACACATTAACACAGCACAGAT